AGAACCTACAAAGAACTCAAACAAATTTACAAGAATAAAACAAACAACCCCATCAAAAAGTGGGTAAGGGATATGAACAGACATTTCTCAAAAGAAGACATTTATGCAGCCAACAGACACATGAAAAAATGCTCATCACCACTCACCATCAGAGAAACGCAAATCAAAACCACAATGAGATACCATCTCACACCAGTTAGAATGGCGATCATTAAAAAGTCAGGAAACAACAGGTGCTGGGGAGGATGTCGAGAAATAGGAACACTTTTACACTGTTGGTAGGACTGTAAACTAGTTCAACCATTGTGGAAAACGGTGTGGTGATTCCTCAAGGATCTAGAACTAGAAATATCATTTGAGCCAGCTATCCCATTACTGGGTATATACCCAAAGGATTATAAATCATGCTGCTATAAAGACACATGCACACATATGTTTATTGTGGCATTATTCACAATAGCAAAGACTTGGAACCAACTCAATTGTCCATCAATGACAGACTGGATTAAGAAAATGTGGCACATATATACCATGGAATACTATGCAGCCATTAAAAAGGATGAGTTCATGTCCTTTGCAGGGACATGGATGCAGCTGGAAACCATCATTTTCAGCAAACTATCGCAAGAACACAAAACCAAACACTGCATGTTCTCGCTTATAGGTGGGAATTGAACAATGAGAACACTTGGACACAGGAAGGGGAACATCACATATGCGGCCTATTGGGGTGAGGGGAGGGGGGAGGGATAGCATTAGGAGAGATACCTAATGTAAATGACGAGTTAATGGGTGCAGCATACCAACATGGCACGTGTATACATATGTAACAAACCTGCACGGTGTGCACATGTACCCTAGAACTTAAAGTATAATAATAATAAAAATAGAAAATAGAAACAACGAAATAAATAAATAAATTCAAGACTCCAGTTTTTGAAAGATTCCATAAAAAGAATCTTCTATCAAGGCTTCAATACAACAAGGCAAAGCAAAATAAAACAACAAGCATAGAGGGTACAAGTTTACCTATGGAGAATGGGAAAGAAAATAAAACTGCATACTCAATCAGTACTTTTTAAACTAATAAATAGTATGTAAAATTCATTCTGATGATTTTCAAAATCATGATGAAATTGATTCATTTAAAGGAAAATATAAACTATCTAGACTAACTTAGTGGAAAGATATTGTTTTTTCACCTGCACACATGCCACTCTTAAAGGGTCCAGTGCCCTGTAGGAGCAGAGCTATAAATTGCAGGACCCTGACCAGTTAATTCCCGCCAGGATGAACGCCTAACCTAATTTCTTCAGCTGGCATCTGAGAACGGAATCCCATCCTCCTCCCGCACTTCCTGTCCCCTTTAGTGCTTTACTATTATCATAGCCCTATCACCATCTAACACATCACCTGTTTTGTTATTTATGTTTTTTAATATTGTCTGCCTCCTCTCCCTTGCCCCACACAAGAAATGTAAGCTCCATCTGGCAGGATATTTGTTTTATGGTACACTATCTACTCACAGACTCTAAACAGGAAATCTGGCACAAAGTTGGCACTAAATGTATATTTGTTGAATGAGTAAATAGATCAATTAATGAATGATTAAGGGACTGACCTGTGATCAATAGAGAATAAAGCTGATGATTTATACATGTGTTGATTTGGGTGTTTGCAAACAAAGGGAGTCTTAGACTACTGTTTGTGGCAAACGCCATAGACTGTGTTTAAGTGACCACAGGCATTTGTCTGCTGGTTCAAAAAAGAAGCTGAGTAGAGCAATAGTGAGAGAGAAAGAGAGAGAACGAAACAGGGGACTAGCAGAGGAAGAAGAAGAGGAAAGAGAGTGAAAGGGGCGCTGCTTGTTTGCTTCTACATTTTTATGAAGATCTTACTATTTTTGTACAGTTGGACTCCATGAAGAAAAAGACACTTTTTAATTGTTTGTTTTTTTAAATCACAGACTCATAGATGTGTCAAATGTAAAATACAATAGCTCTTACTGGGCTTTCCACATCTTCTTAGATCTATCCCTTTAGGTCAAGAATTCCTAATTTTGAATGTACATTTACTACAACTATTTATCTTCTTGCTTATTGGTTTTGTTTTCTTTTTTAATACACAGGTACAGGCCCCACCCTGCCCCATGGGGTAGTTCTAATGTGTGGCCATGTTAAGAGCTGCTGCTTTAAAGACTCCACAAGAAAACTATTAGAACAGATAAACAAATACAGTAAAGTTGCAGGATACAAAATTAATATACAAAAATCAGCAGCATTTTTGTATGTCAACAGTTAACAATCTGAAAAAGGTATAAAAAAGTATTCCTATTTACCATAGCCACACATAAAATTAAATACCTAGGAATTAACTTCACCAAAGAAATGAAAGATATCTATAATGAAAATTAGAAAACACTGATGAAAGAAATTGAAGAGGACACCAAAAAATTGAAAAATATTTTATGTTCATGGATTGGAAGAATCAGTATTAATAAAATTTCCATACTACCAAAAGCAATCTACAGGTTCAGTGCAATCCCTATCAAAATACCAAAGATGTTCTTCACATAAATAGCAAAAACAATCCTAAAATGTATATGGAACCACAAAAGACCCAGAATAGCCAAAGCTATCCTAAGCACAAAGAATGAAACTGGAGGAATCACATTACCTGATTTCAAATTATACTACAAACCTATAATAATCAAAACAACATGGTACTGGAATAAAAACACACACATAGATAAATGAAACAGAATAGAGAACCCAGAAACAAATCCACACACCTACAGCAAACCCATTTTCAACACAGGTGCCAAAAGTATACACTGGGAAAAAGACAGTCTCTTCAATAAATGGTGCTGGGAAAACTGTATATTCATATGCAGAAGAATGAAAATAGACGCCTATCTCTTGCCATATACAAACATCAAATCAAAATGAATTAAGACCACCTCAAATCATTAAACTACTACAAGAAAACATTCAGGGAAATCTCTAGGATGTTGATCTGGGCAAAAATTTCTTGAGTAGTACCTTAGAAGCATAGGCAACCAAAACAACAATGGACAGAAGGGATCACATCAAGTTAAAAAGCTTCTGCACAGCAAAGTATACAATTAACAAAGTGAAGAGACAACTCAGATTGGAAGAAAATATTTGCAAACTACTCATCTGACAAAGGATTAAGAATCAGAATATATAAAGAGGTCAAACAACTGAATAGGAAAAAATATGATAATCCAATCAAAAATGGGCAAAGATTTGAATAGATAATATGGCCTGGCTGTGTTCTCAGCCAAATCTCAACTTGAATTGTATCTCCCAGAATGCCCACCTGTTGTGGGAGAGACGCAGGGGGAAGTAATTGAATCATGGGGGACAGTCTTTCCTATGCTGTTCTTGTGATAGTGAATAAGTCTCACGAGATCTGATGGGTTTATCATGGGTTTCCAATTTTGCTTCTTCCTCATTTTTCTCTTACCATCACCATGTATGAAGTGCCTTCCACCTCCCACCATGATTCTGAGGCCTCCCCAGCCATGTGAGACTGTAAGTCCAATTAAATCTCTTTTTGTTCCCAGTTTTGGGTATGTCTTTATCAGCAGTGTGAAAATGGACTAATACAATAGACATTTCTCAAAATAAGTCATGGAAATTGTAAACAGGTATATGAAAAGGTACTGAACATCACTGATCATCAGAGAAATGCAAATCAAAACTACAATGATGCATCATTTCACCCCAGGTAAAATAGCTTATATCCAAAAGACAGGCAATAGCAAATGCTGGAGAGGATGTGGAGAAAAGGGAACATGTGTACACTGTTGGTGGGAAGATAAATTAGTACAACCACTATGGAGAACAGCTGAAGGGTCCTCAAAAAACTAAAAATAGAGCTACCACATGATTCAGCAATTCTACTACTGGGTGTATACCCAAAAGAAAGGAAATCAGTATATCAGAGAGATATCTGCACTCCTATGTTTGTTTCAGATCTGTCTACAATAGCTAAGATTTGGAAGCAACCTAAGTGTCTATAAACTGATAAATGAATAGAGAAAATGTGGTACATATATACAGTGAATGATTATCCAGCCATAAAAAATAATGAGATCCAGTCATTTGCTACAACATGGATGGAAATGGAGATCATTATGTTAAGTGAAATAACCCAGGCACAGAAAGATAAACCTTGCATGTTCTCACTTATTTGTGGGATCTAAAAATCAAAACAATTGAACTCATGAACATAGAGGGTAAAATGATGGTACTAGAGACTAGGAAGGGTAGTGGGAGTTTGGTGGGGGGAAGATAGGGATGATTAATGGGTACAAAGTAATAGAATGAATAAGACCTACTATTTGATAGCACAACATGGCAACTACGGCCAATAATAACTTAATTGTACATTTTGAAATAACTTAAAGAATGTAATTGGACTGTTTGTAACTCAAAGAATAAATGCTTGAAGAAATGTCTATCCCATTTTCCATGATGCGGTTATTTCACATTGCATGCCTGTATCAAAGCATCTCAGGTACATCGTAAATATATGCATCTATTATGTAGTCACAAAAATTAAACATAAGCAAAATTTTTAAAGAAACAAACAAAAACTAACTGCTGCTTTGCTTTGCACCATGAACTCTATTAGAATGTTTTCTCAACTCACTTACAGATGTTCACAGGTTCCTCCTAATAGTATACATGAGATTTTGCCCTTTTCTGTAGAAAAATAAAACATGTAACTCCGAAAGAAACTTTCAAACAATTAGCTTCGCCTACATCTAGCTCTGTCACAGCTGTTTACTTTTTAAGCTTTTAATCACCAACATAAAGTTTAAGCTCATACAGTTACTTTTATATTTTTCTGGATTTTTAAGTGACTTACAAGTTGATATCAGGATTTTAAGTCCTCCGTTTGTTCTCCTGACAACATAAATTTGATCAGGAAGCTAAAATCTTAAACTAAAGGCGGATTAAGTCAAGTACCTGCAGAGGGGCTTCAGGATGCTTCTCTCTCTGCACTGGAGCAGCGGGAACTTCCTGAGGGGGCTTTGATGTCTTCCTTTTGGCTTTTTCCATTTGGATATTGGTGAAATAGTTGACAGCAGCAAACTCGATAAGGGCCGAAAATACAAAAGCAAAGCAGACAGCTATGAACCAATCCATGGCAGTAGCATAGGACACTTTGGGCAAAGAATGTCGTGCACTGATGCTTAGTGTGGTCATGGTGAGGACAGTTGTTATTCCTTCAAAGCAAAAGAGCAGAGAGACAAAACACCTTACCATAATTTATATTTAAAAAACCACTGCCACCAACAACAGAAACCTAGAAAATCAGGTGGGATAAGGTTAACAAAACTTACAATAACTCAAACAAAACCATCTTTGATGGAGAATTGGAATCTTAGTGGTTCAATAAAATTAGCACAGGATTTGGAGTGAGAGAAAGATATGGTTCTAATCCTAGTTTTTCTAACAATTGCTTAATAAGTCTTGCGTTGAATTTGGAAAATTCTTTGGTCTTTATTTGACACCTACCGATTGGGTTTTCTATAAAGGTTAAAAGTGTGTAAGGCACCTAGCGCACAGTGGGATGATACTGGAAACTATGCCAACACACCCACCGGACTCAACAGACACACACCTATCAGGAAGAGTAACTCATTGAAGCGCTGACTCTCAGCTAGGAATGGGAAGTGAGGAACACTGTCCTCCTAAATTGGAGCATCAGAATTTCTGGAGTCAAGCATGGACCACTGCTATTGAGAACCACTGCCAGAAAAGGCATAAATTATACATAGGTCTTCTTATCTTTAAACATTATCTATTGAATTAAAATACTAAATTTACTAGTTGTGCAGAAGCCTCATATATATAAAACAATAAAGTTATATTACTGGACGAATAGATTTCCAGAGCAATTTGGCATTATAAATATTGGACCTATACTACCCATCAGTTCACAGCTGGCTGGAAAATATTTGCAAAAAGAACAGAAGTACTTCTCCTCCATCAATAGTCTTCTGAAGCACCACATCCAGGAATGCTTTTTCCTTAGCTTGGAAAAAAAGTCAGTTTCCACTCTTAGTAGAAAAATTCTCCTTGCCACTGGTACTATAGAGTAACACATTATTTAAGAATGCTAATATTTGGGCACTTGTCCATTTCTGCATGTATATATGTCTGTCTAACCCATATTATACAGTTAAGTCTGGAAATTTTTGCGAGGATTTACTACATCCATTTAAACTGATTCTACATAATGACTAGGATAGCTCCTGAAGTTGACAAACAACATGTTTGGGGATGGGGATGATGATAATAATAGAACAATGATGTTGAAGGCATTTAAACTGCATATTCCAATACCAATCCCCAGCTGAAAGGCAAATAATGCATGTTCAACCAAAGAGATAATGAGTCCAGTGCAATATTGAAGGAATAAAACATTTTGACTTGGGGAAAATAATAGGTCTCCTCAATTCAGAATTTTGTTGTATTCTGCCTACTACTATTCCTTAACTGATACATGTGTGTAACCCTCATTTCCACAGCTTTATTAACCATAGTCTTCTTGAGGGCAGACAAGTCTAAGGTTGCTTCAGGTTTATATTTCACATAGTGCTAGGCACAAGATAAATCCACGGAAATAAAAACTCATTCTTCCACTTCCTCACCAATCCATTTTCTCTGAAATCCAGTCTCTTCTAAATCTTCAATGCTTAGAACATGAAAAATTGGAGCAACTGTGCAGCACATGAGCTACACAGCATTTATAAAGATCTGAGACCCCACACAGAGAAAGAAACTTGAGAATTTGGTTGTATTCCCTTTTAAAAATATTTTGTGACATTGTTAGCATTCTTATTAGTCTAAAATAGATTATAAAATGAATTTATTCAAATATATAAATATCTAAATATCTATAAAAATGCTATATTGTGAATTTATTGGATTTTATTTCAGAAAGAGACCTTGGAACATTTAGGCCTTCATTTTGAATCTCAGAAAAGTGGCACCATTCCCATGTTGGCTGTGAGATATATGAATAAACAATAAAATAACTGAAAATTTTTAGCTACGTTTGATGATAGATTAAAATGTTTTTCTTGCTCATAACAATTTAAATTTAATGGAGTATTAAGAATTCAAAAAAGTTCTATAACTTTCTCAGATATGTAAGCAATATTTTTCCTCTAATGTCATAGAAACAATGCTAAAAGCAGTTAGAATAATATATGAACAGTACAGTATAAATAATAATACTATTCAGTACTCAGAAAATTCTACAGAGACCATACTGTGATAACCAAAAAAGATACTCAAATTCAAATATAAGCAACTTAAGATTCCCTATGTCACTTTGAACTATTTTTTTTTGTAATAGGACTATTTTTCTTGGTGATCAGAAGTAGTGGTCTTTATCTTCTCCTCTTATCATGTGAATGCCCTTACCAATGTCAAGCAAACAGAATACTAATGCAGTTATTGACCCATAAATTCAATAATTACTTTCCAATTGTTTAGGAGGATAGATCACCAAGTTCATGAGTTAAATGATGATGTGGACACCAACACACACACACACAAACACACATGCTGGATAGGTGGCTACCTTCCACTTATCTTGCATTATTTTCAATCAATTTGATTTTAAAGTTTGTAGAATAGCCCTCCAGATACTATGGTTCCTACTTTATGACACTGGCAAAACTGGGAAATTAGCTGGCACAAACATTCGGCTAAGTATTTAAATGTTGTCACCTCTTTCGACATTAAAATTTATCTCTCCTGGTGTTAAAATTTAAAGAAAGAACTGCCGTGACAAGGGTATGCTTATTATACTTGGTCTGAAGTGGAACATTTGATTAAATGAAAACCAGTGGAATAACAAACAGAAACCAACTCTTCAGAATAAGAATCCATGTTTCCTCTGCATCCAAGAAGACAATTCATCTGTCGTGTATGGCTTAGCCGGCACCTACCCTGAACACATTTAAAAGCCACATTTGAAAAAATATATCCAATTATTGATGCCATTCCCTGCATTTAGCATGCTGAATATGCACCATATTGGCTGGCCTAGAAGCTGAGTGAGGATGTGTAAGAGTAGGCAAAGACTGTACACAAGAGTGAATTTTTGGCTGGCCACTCCTAGAAAATGAAATAGCAATGATTAAGATATGCCAGCTGGCATTTACTTGTGTTTAATGTTTTACTATACTGGAATAATTAGAAAACTTAGAGGCATACAGCTTTGGAGATAGAAGGTCTTTGGAGAGATTTTTAGCACACTCTGCTCCTTTCATTACACTGATTTTTTTTTTTTTGGTTTTGTTTTTGTACAGTCTCTAATGATGTCTCTGACCCAACAAATTATCTTCTTATGAGTGGAAAGGGAAATAAGAGTTAGGGAAGAAAAAAATTTGCCCAGAATTAATATTTACCTAAATCTCATATGCAAATAGATTTCTAATTTCCTCCTAAATACTTAAAACTTAACTTTCCTAAGAAAGTACCTTCATAGACCCTCAATGATAGTCTAATAGTTATCAATATGACACATCTTAGGTCTTTGAACACTTAATTACCGACATAATTTCTCTGCTCAACTAAAAACAATATCTTGGCACATGGGCACAAAAGATGGGCAAATTTCCAATTTAAAAAAAAATAAAAAAACCAGCCACAAAGTATCTTTAGCACACATCCATATAATCTCACTCAGCAGCTCTGGAATTCTCCACAAGCCCCCACATCCCCACACCTCCTGTGAAGACAGAATGACTGAGTTGTCAAAGTTAGATAGAAATTGTCTTGGGTCCACCAATTACAATTTGACTTTACAGAAGTTTCTTAATATGTTTGAGTCATTTTCCTTATCTATAGAAAATAATGACTACTTTACTGAGTAATTATTAAGGTTAACAATATTTGGCAAATCTGTTTATCTTTGGTACTACTAGTATCCTTACTTCTTGCTACTTAGTTTTCTTAAAATGTCTTATTTGGATAGGAAATGTTGGGTGAGTACAGCTGTAATCAATACTAGTCTTCACCGCACCACTGGAAATTTCTATTATTTGGGGACAAGTGAGATGAACAGTAGCTATCAGGTTGTAATCAATCAAGAAATAAATAAAAGGTTATCAAGCCATCACAATAGTAATAATATATGGCAGGTAGTCACATTAATATATCAAGTAATGATTTTCAAATGAAGTAGATAGTAGCATGGAATGCCATACTAATAAATAACACTTAAATCATATTTTCTATGCATCTGCATTATTTCAAGTGCTTTTCTAAATCAACTCATTTAATCCTTAGAGCAGTCCTATGAGGTACATGCAATCATTCATCCTGTTCTAACACATGAGGAAGCAGGCAAAGGTAACTTACTGAAGGTCCACAGCTAATAAGTGATAGTCCCTGGGTAAGAAGCTAGGCTTTTTGCCTCCACATTCTGCACTTATGGCACCATCACCCCTTGATTACAGGCACCTATGATGGATCATTAATTGCTGTTCTATACGCTCTTCAGGATCATTTTTTCTTAAAAAACAATATGTATACAAGAGTTTTTTTATTTGTAAGATATAGTAGAAACTTCTGTGTTTTCTTTTTAATTTTTAATGAGGGTAGCTCCTGAAATGTTTATATTTTTTTTACAAGAAAAAGTTAACAGACTTCGGATGCTCAGCCTCAGTAGATACTTCTTGCCTAGTCAAAGTGCTTCAAAAGATGATGTGTGAAGACACAAAATTAGCTTGAGTGTTAAATGAGATAATGAACATCAAGAACTTAGCAGAGCATCCAATAGTACACACTAGAAAGTTATGCTTTCTTTAAAACACTTAAAAGTCAAGAAAACTAAATCAGAACAAAATCTATCTTCCTTAGATTGGAGAAGTATTGGAGTAAGTAATTAATATGAACCAAGTGGTCCAGACACCCTATATTGAGTACTATATATAATTTTTTAAATCCTCACTAGTCTATGAAGGTGAGATGTATTGTCACAATCTTATGAATGGAGAAAATAAGTGGCAGATTTGGGTTTAAACCTAGACTTGCTGACACCCACAGTTTAGATTTGTTGTTTTCTCTCTTCTGTTTTCAAATCTACATTTAAGAGCTAAATTTTATTCAACACTTTGAGTTGTGCAGTTATTCTTTAATTGAACCCTCACAACTCTTTAAGGTACCATTATACCTCCTCACTGCCTTCCTAAGATCACACCCTCCCTCCACCATTGCCCCCCGATATGAGTTTCTCTAGTATAATTCCAATACTTTTTTTTCTATTTTTGTAATGCATCCTCATACTCCAACACATTCTTAAAGAAACCTAAGATTAAAGGGAGGATAGCTATCTATAGAGTATTTCAGATCCATTGAAGACACTAAGACCCCCTAATCAACAGTTCTCGAAAAGGATGGGGAGGTAGGATGAAAAGTTCCCATTCTATTTAGTTCATTTGCACCAGCATCTCTTCAGCTATTGTGTGATAAGGGATATTATACCATGGCTGTGATCCTACTAGGTAGAAAAGCAAAGAGGAATTGGCACTCTTGTGAGGACTACACCACAATTCCAGAGCAATTCTGATCGTTTTTCTTCTTATTGTACTACTGAGTGCTTTTGTTACTCACAATGAACAGAGAAATAATAGAGAAAGACATTAAAATAAACATAATTATAACAAATTCTACTATTTAAAAGCATGACTGATATGTAGAATACAGTGTAATAAAAATTGTAAACTCATACGCTCTGAACTTTATATGGTTCAGAATACTATACAGTATATATGAAGCTACAATAAAAACAAAAAGTAAGAACAATGTTTAGAAAAAAAGAAGTATGTAAGTAGATGAGCTTATAAACTAAGCACATAATACCTCCCAATTCAATGCATTTAAACCATTTGCATTTTGGTCCACTTCATTAAAAGCTAAATTATTCTAAGGCTTTCATATTCATTCAGCCATGACTTTTATTTGTTTTATTTTAAGCTGCCAATGCATTTCATTTTAACACGCAGATATAATTTTAATTCAATTACACAGCATTCTACTAGGAGCCCAAGAATATCACTGAAAGTGAGATTATGTCCAGATTCACATTTGGTCTACACCTGTCTGGTGCTCAACAAGGGAAATCTGATGCATGGCCCCAGAGGAAAGGAAGGATGCCTGAATCTCCCCAGGCTTTATTACTTTGTACTGGCTATATAAAAATGAAAGCCTATATGATTCCTTATTCAGGATAGCCTGATGTATTAGGGTTTAAGATTTTCTTAGAAATATCCCATGAATCACGAATAAAATGTAATGTGAACAGAAACACCCAAGAAATGAATTGCAATTACCAAATACAGTCCTAGCGGGAACTGATTCTTTATTTATCCAGAATGAAACTTGAGAAAGAATCACTGTCATAATGCATGGAATATAGGTCTGAATCATAAAATAACCCATCTTCCGTCTGAGGTGGAAGTAAACCGTCATAACAATATATTCACCTGCCAAGAAAACAGGAGGAAAATGTGTTATCGGTTCTGCAGGCAGTTAGTCAATGACTTCTTAAACATATTTCAGACTAACAAACAGTATTCTAAGGAAAGAAATTCTCTTTTGTGCATAGCTTCACAAACATCAATAAGTATGTAGTTTCCTAACGAGGGAGAAAATGATATTGAACATTATTATACAGAAAAACACTTTGTTCCATGTAATGATTAAGCAATTTAACAAATTGGGCTAAAACTTTTTAAAATTTTCTGTAGTGCTTTCTATTTTGATGATCTAATATTGCTAAAGCAATTAGCTTTCATTTTCAGCGTTTTTTAGAAACAACATTTAGACCTAACTTCTATGGAAAACCACCAGAAAAAAATAGAAATGCGCACAGTTACACATACACAGCCACTGACACATACACACCCATTTATGAAAATATAAAGTTTAATTTTAGAAAAGAATAAAGATACATATTTTATTTATATATAAATATATATGTTTCATTCATATGTAGATTTCATACACAATCACAAGCTTAGAGAGAGGCTACCTTAGTTTTAGGAAAGAGGTGAATTTCTAAATGTTCTTTATATGAAGAAAAATATAGACGTGTATAACAGACAGGCATATATGACACCCCTGAGTTCAAGCATGTTTTACTGGCATTTAGACAAAAACCTGATTTCTGGTAGCTGTTGATAAGTATTTTTACTGTTACATCTCAAAATAATATGTCAAAAAAGTTACCTAGGAAGCAGTGGCCTTATTCACAAACCGTGAGTCCAGCATTCAGAAACCTCACATCCTACCAGTTGTGTTCCATATCCCACTTGCAGACTGGAAAATAAATGCCCTTCCAAAAATGTATTTTCTTAGACAGATGAGAGGCAAAGTGCCCTCTTAGAAAGCTACTGTATTGTTTCATGACTGATGTGAAGAAGGTTTCCTCAAAATGAAAACAGTCATGACAGGTGTCATAAAGATAAAAGTAATGGAAATTTACTGTGACTTATACAAAGCAGTTTTAATAGTAGAGACAGTGGGCTAAATTCCTTTTTTAAAACAAAGGCTTACATATTAATTTTATTTATCCATAATAAATTTCCATTTTATCTTATTTATGTTTAATTTTTAACCAATTTTTGAGGTATGATTGACATACAAAAAGCTGTACATATTAATGTATACAACTTAATGAGTTTGGAAATAAGTATACACTCGTTAATCTATCACCACAATCTATGCCACAAACATATACATCACCCCCAAAAGTTCCCTCCTTCTTATTTATTACCTTCTCTGACAAGAACATTTGAGATCTACTCTTTCAGCAAATTTTTAAGTAGACAATACAGTACTGTTCACTATATGCACTCTGCTATACAGTAGATATCTAGAATTTATTCACCTTATATAACAGAAATACTATGGCCTTTGACTAATATCTCCCTGTTTCCTCCTCCCGGAGGCCGCTGACTACCACCATTCCTCTCACTGCTCTGAGTTTGACTATTTTAGCTTCATCATCCCTTCACAACACTGCTTTATCCATTTTTTCTTAAAACAGAAGCAAAAACTTCATTATCTCACATCTTTACTCCAGATCTTAAAACTACTCATTTTCTACTAATGCAATCTTAGCATTGTATCTCTCAGTCAACACCTTTTTAAGAACACAAACTCAGAAGTTAACACTTAGATTTGAAATTTGGTTTTGCCAGTTATTAGCTATACGACTTAGGCAAACACATTGTACTTAAACCTTTCTCATGTATAAAATAAATGTTATGGTGGTATCCACTTCATGGGATGGTTATGAGAAAAAATACATAGAAAGAATTTAGAAGGGCGCCCGTCACATGGTAATTGCTGAATAAAGTTTAGCTATCGCTATGGCCTAAATGTTTGTGGTCCTCAAAGTTCAAATGTTGAAACATAATAGCCAATGTAATGATAAGAGGTTGGCCTTGGGGTGATTAAACCATGATGATGAAGTATTTATGAATAGAATTAGTGCCTTTATAAAAGAGGCCCCAGTGTGAACACCCACTCCCTACACCTTGGGGGTCCCCATGTGAGGACTTATTCATAGAAGGTACTATTCTGTGAACAAAGAAATAGGTCCTCATAGAACACTGAATCTGATAGCACCTCATCTTAGACTTGTCAGCCTCCTGAACTATGAGAAGTAAATTTCTGTTGTTTTTGAGCCACCCTGTTTGTGTTGTTTTGTTACGATGGCCCAAACAAACTAAGATAACTATCATCAAAAATATTTTTTTCTGGTGACATGTGTATGTAAGGAACAGTCTTAGAACAAGCAATAATCAGCTAATTTTTCCACTAAAAATGATTAAAAACTAAATGCTGTAATTCTTTCTATTCACATTCCAAAAGAAAAGAGAGACCAAGAATCATCAATAATAAGCATCCCCCCGATTCATGAAATAACTTTAATGTACACCCATAATATACTTTGTAATTAAGCTTGAGATTTTTGTTTACTTTCAGAAAACAAGAGAAGGTGACACCATAAAATTGGGCAAGATAAAATAAAATTTTTGGAAAGCCCCACAAAAATCATCAAAAACCAAAACCAAAAACAAAGCAAAGACAAAAAACAAGATCAGACTTCCTACCACATAATTTTGTGAAAATAATTTTAACATATTTGATTACTGGCTTTCATTTCCGAATAAGAAAACCAACTCACTTTTAGCATCTTACTAAATCGGAATTTATTTTAAACTAAAGTAAGATTATAAATATAAAGAAATTATGAGCTGTAACTCATGCATCAACTCTATTTCTGGAAAATGTTTGTTGTTCTCCTGAAAAAAATAAATAACTATTTCAACGAAAAAGTCAGGAGAAAACTCTATTGCTAACACCAAGTAGCATATCAGCTTTAATTATTACACATCTCACCCGTAATCGATTTGATGGTTTCACTTGATACGGTTTGCCCAATCAAATCATATTGAACTAAGCTGGAAGACTCCTTCGGCACTTCAACTGATTTCTCAGGACCTTTTGTCCAGGTGTAGATCATCTCACTCTTTGGATAGGCATCTAAAAGAGAGCACAGAATGTGGTTAGAGTCAATGCTCCTTTTTCATCTGCATCAGTGGTCAACACTTAAAAACAGTACTTGTTCAAGAAAGATGGAATAAATGAAAACAACGTTCACTATAATTTAGTCAAACATGTTTAAAACTTAGAAAACTAGAGATTAAGTAAATACCCTTGCAACTCAACAGCATTTATTTTTTATGCCAAATAATTGGAGGAGGAGATATTAAAACTGAGGGATCTAAAATGCTACATATGCACCAATACACTTGGATGTGTGTCCATGCTAGTAGGATAAACAGTTCAAAAGCAGATATATTAAACTACCAAAACCGTACTGTCAAGCTCTTACTTCTTTCACTTCTAATTCACTTCCAGTGCTTGACCAATACCATCCTAACACAGTTCTGCTATTTAGAAACGTACCGTATGCTGCCTGTAATAATACAATAACAAAACCAAACAAATTCTATTGTTAGGAGTGTTCCCCTGGGGTCACCTCTTCCAAACTCTGCCTCTGGGCAATATCCCTGTGTTTGGGGACTGTTGTACGGTGACAACTGGCTATGTTTTTTGTAAAGCTGTCCAGGGAATATAATTATACAACCAATTCCACTACCTTTAATTTCTTACAATCAGGACATTTCCCCTTCCATCTTAAACAAATCTCTCCCAGTGGCAATTTAAGCCCATTTCTATTATTTGGCACTCTGTTCAAATGGAGACCAGCTGCTTGCTTACCAGTCTACCCATAACAGACAGCTTGGCTCACACACAAGAAAGTTCAAAAGAACCAAAATGGATTGTGTGCCAACCTCCCTCCAAACCATCCTAAAATGGCTATAGCATAGTAGCTCCTCAATGGAATCATTTCATTCTATGAAAGAAGTTGACACTTACGAGCACCTTACAAAACAATGAGGCTTGTGTTGTCATTTTAGCATCATTCAGTTATATTATCTGTCAGCCTTTATCTCCAGAAATATATTCACGCTTCAGTAAACTGTTACAGCCTCTGTATACTATGTTCTTGTCTATGATATTGCAAATTAAGTATCCTTCCCTTGGCTACCCTTACATTGCTAGAATGACCTTTTCTTTCCTGGTTTTTCTAATTCCTCTGAACTGTAAGCATGGGGGTTTAAATAGTGTTATTTTTCCCTGTTTCCAGAGTAATTAACAATCCTTACCTGCTGAGTATGGTGTGCCTCTCTTTTTAATTCCCAATCCAAAAACATCCGCTTCCAATGTGCAATTTCTTTATTTTATATCAACTCTGATTGAACACTAACTATGTTCAAGTCCTTCTGAAGAGAGCTTTTTCTGAGAACTAGAGGTTGGGATGCAGGGAGTGAAAAGGACTTCCTCTACGTGAGAACTAATTTGGGTAAAATTTGAATGATTACAGCACAAATGGATTTTAATTCTGGCCCCAATGAGATCACACTGTCTATGTATTTTTCTGTCTTTATCTTCTCTCATTAAATTATTGGTAAGAGAACATATTACTTTCCCTGGCTTCAAGTTAGCCCACTGAATATTGTGATTACTAGGGGTTATAAAAAGAATAGTGACTGTCGATTCTCATTAAGTTAAGCAATGAGCGATGATAACAGCAGGCAACAGTTTCAAAATCAGTGCAACTAAGAATCTGAAGCAATAGTAAAAGCCAGCATCTATTTTTGGTAGATTCTGATTGAATTGAAAATGTGAGGCAGACCTTAGAAAAGGCAATCACATTTTGCTGCCATCTCAGAGAAGGGACCTTAAGGAAGGAATCTCATATTATTTTCTATCCATTCATCTCATCCTGTTGCCTTCATTTTCTACAAAATTTCCCAAACATATCTATTTCACAGTTTCTCCTCTAGTACCATCCTAGTCTAAGCCACTGCCATATTTGCTTGTACTAAAACAACAGCCTCCATTTCTCTGCTGCTTCCACTCCAGTCTCTCTACCACCCATTCTAAAAAAAGTAGAAGTGGAACTGTAAAATGTCAAAGAAAGCTGCATTGTTTCATCAAACCTTTGAAAGGCTTCCCATAGCTTTTAGATAGAATACAAACTCCTTAATGTGGTATATAAGGCATTATATTATCTCAGACCACACCCCTACCATGCTTTTGCTATGCTTCAGTCACTGTTATACCAGCAGTGCTTGCTTCTGTCATTTCAAGCTATACGATGTCAGGAAGCTCTGAACCTTTTAAGGATTTCCTCCAAGTTGGCTATGAAGGACTCTGCTTACAATAGAATGTCTGTCTGTCTATCTATCTATCTATCTATCTATCTATCTATCTATCTATCTATCTCTCTTTCTCTCTCTCTCCAAAGTGATATATATTATAATTAAATAAATTATATAGATATATATTTATCTATATAATTTGTACTTTCTGTGTAACACTACCAACACGTAGAGTTCAGAGGTCCCTAAATTTCACCACTGATCACCAGTCAATTGTGACTAAGAGTACTTAGATTATCTGTTAAATAGGTTTTTGTTTGTTGTGGGGAAAGGAGGTTGTTTTTATTTCTTTATTATAAAATAATAGTTAATGAAATCTCCATAAATAAAACCAGGCAGTTTTTGTTATGGACCATGACTTAAATGTTGGATTATGAAAAATAAAATACATATGTAAATATCAACTTGCATGAGGTAATCATAAATTCTAACAAAATTTTTATTATAACTTACAACTCCCGAATTTCAAAGGGCATGCATGACCATCCATGGGAAAATCCACCAATCTCATGGGACACTCCGCACTTATGGTGAGTCTATGATGAAAAATGCAATTACATAAAATCAACCCTTTTAAAAAAATAATTATGATTTTAGATTCTAAAATAGGAAGGAAGGGAGGGAAGGAGGAAGGAAGAAAGGAGGGAAGAAAAGGAAGGAAGGGAAGGAGGGAGGAAGGAAGGAAGGAAGGAAAGAAGGAAGGAAGGAAAGAAAGAAGGAAGGAAAGAAAAGAATAAAAAAGAAAGGGAACAAGTAAAAAAAAAAAAAGATTACCTCATTGTGTATAAAATAGTACCATTTCTCATAATTCTAAAAAGCTTATTTGGAGCTGTCATATTATGTGAGACAGATTTCTTTCCATTCCTGAAGAAAGTATCAGGGGTCCATACTTTTGTTACCATCATATTGTTCAATCTCAAAATTTCAATGGGGCCATCATATTTTAGTCTTTTGTCAATCCATGTCTGTCTGAAGAACACATCCATTGTGTATTCCTAGGGCAATTATTTTGGAACATATTTAAGTCACAAATGACTACATATAAGTATGTGAAAATAATGCATTACATTCTGTCCTCCTTCATGCTCATAAAAAAGACCATTGCAAATAAAATTAATAGGAGCAGGAATGATCTTGAATCAATGGAGCAAAAAGATTCTCAGCAATTAGAGTAATTTTTATTCATCCTGATGCCTTCATCTTCTGCATTCATAAGATAAATAAATTACCACACATGCTCATTATCTAATAACACATTTGCTATAATTTAAGAAAACCACCAGTACCAGGTAGTACAGTTGTGTTTTACTTTAGACCAGATAGCAAAAATCAGTTAATGTGTAAAAAGTATCATGCATAATTAATCATGTAATTTTAGGCATTTTAAAGACAAAGTAATATGTGTAAAAGATATTTTATTTTCACAAAGTTTATTAAAATTAGTCAAATAACTCAAGGGTTTCGAATTACTAGGAGCTTTAGATCAAGGAATAAACTAAAGTAAGTTTTTTGTCATGTAAACTAAGTATATTTAATATAAGATAGCACAACTGTATGAATGAATTCTTCCTGACCAGTGCTTGGTATTCTAAGCTCTTAAACATGAATGAGAAGGAGGGAGAAGGGCTGGGAAGGGCAGCAAGCAATTAGATCAGCATGAAATACTAAATACAACGAAAACTACAAAATAGTGTACACAACTAGTTCATACTGAAACTAATTATCATCTCTAATTTTCTCCCCCTCAATAGTTTCCTAAAGAAAAAACAGCCTGGCGTGGTGGCTTACGCCTGTAATCCCAGCACTTTGGAAGACTGAGGCGAAAGGATCACCTGAGCTCAGAATTTCGAGACCAGCCTGACCAACATGGAGACACCCTGTCTCTACTAAAAAACGCAGAATTAGCTAGGCGTGGTGGCGCACACCTGCAATCCCAGCTACTCAGGAGGTTGAGGCAGGAGAATCACTTGAACCTAGGAGGTGGAGGTTACAGTGAGCAGAAACTGCGCCATTGTACTCCAGCCTGGGCAACAAGAGTGAAACTCCATCTGGAAGGAAGGAAGGAAAGAAGGAAGGAAGGAAGGAAGGAAGGAAGGAAGGAAGGAAGGAAGGAAGGAAGGAAGGAAGGAAGGAGGGAAGGAAGGGGAAGGAAGGAAGTAAGGAAGGGGAAAGAAAGAAAGAAAGAAAGAAAGAAAGAAAGAAAGAAAGAAAGAAAGAAAGAAAGAAAGAAAGAAAGAAAGAAAGAAAAGAAAGAAAGAAGGAAAGAAAGAAGGAAAGAAAGGGAAAGAAAGGGAAAGAAAGAAAGAAGAAGAAAAGACAAAACAAAAATAAAAAAAGCTACACCCCAGGTTGTGCTATAGGAACCAGTAATAGGAAAGTTCTTCTCTTTGTTTAGTATGACCCTAAATCAACAAGCACTCAAATGTTACAGCTGAAATGCAAATTGAATGAGATTCAATGTCTTACTCTTTATACATTCTTAAGTTTAATTAGGGGTTCTTTGGGTTTCTGGCTTTGCGTGATTGACAACGAAATAAATATTAATTGCCCTCTTTTCTACATGTTTTCTTCAAGTCTCAAAAGGTAAATTAAACTTCGAAAATACCTACCATTTCAACATCAGAAACAGGTCCAAAGCTGGTGACATATATGTCAGTTTTCACTTCTGTAACAGGACCTAGCGGGTATGAAGTGAATAAGTGTGAAAAAATAATTACCAATTTTACAGGCTTGGATGGTTAGATAATTACAGAGTAAATACAGATATGATATATCATGTTTCTACAAGCATCTTAAATTTTCAGTGAGATAATGAATCTCTACAAAAAAAATGTAGACCAAAGCACAACAAAACCAGAAAGCAGTGTTTACTTACAGGCAAAAAGAAACCCTAATTACTTACCAGGAACCTTTCTTAAATATACATCACCCCTGGACACTGTTACAACAGGCAATGCAGAGACACAAAAGTTTTTAACCTTTGTGATATTTTATAGTCCACCATCTGATTGGCTTCTATAAAGAAGTGAGCTGTTAAAAAGGGGAAGTGTGGCCACAGGAGCAAAGAAGAGAAAAACCATAACAGCTGTAAGGACTGTATCCTTGGAGAGTTGAGGATACCAGTAAATAATTTTAAAAATGATTCATGTCACCTTTATCAAAAGGCACACCATCCACTACTGATTGGAATCAAAGACAAACTTTTTTATAAGTAACAGCTACTTATGCTCTGCCACCTACTAACTGTACAACCTTGTGCAAGTTATTTAACTCCTCAGTAGTAGCAACCACAACCATCAGGCAAGATTTTGATAGCGATCAAATGAAATTGCTGAAATAAGACGCTCAGCAAAGCGACTATCTCATGAAAGTACTCATTCCATGTGAGGTTCCCTTTGCTTCTGACAATGGCCCCTATTGAGACTCTTTCCTGTATCTAAATAAGACTAGTTCATGAAGCACATAGGTGTTTTGGCAGAAGAGAAATGTGGGAGCATAATGACAATATGGCTAACATAGATTTTAGACTCGGGAACACAATCTGGGTTTAGCACAATCTGAGTTTAGCATGAAACTTAAAATCAGAAAGTTTGGAGTTCACATTTGGTTCTAACATCTTCTAGTAATATCATCTTCAAGTCATATATCCCCATAGGTAAAGATATTAATGAGTACTAATTGCAATAATACTTGTAAGTCATTTTCCCAGTCTCTAGAATAGAATGTGCTCAATAATGACAATAGTCATTATTATGTATAAAATAGCATTTTAATACAAACAAAAATATAAAAATTGTTGCCACTTGAACATAACTTCCTTAAACAACGGTTTACAATACTGTATAGCCAGAGGATAGATATTCCATAGGAAGAATGATATCTGCTATAAAGATGAAATAATTTCTCACTTGGATTCTTGCTTGGGAAATGGGATTCATGCCAAAAAAAAAAAAAGGCAAAGAGAAATTGGTATTACTTAATGCCCTAGTTCTAAAGTTATCCTCATAAAAATGAATCTGAATATTTCTTCTTCTAAAGAATGAAGATTGATCCACACAAAGAAAGGTAGCTCGAGGGAGAATGAGAAAATTCCTTACTGAATAAATATCCTAAGAAAAATAAAGCCTTAGGCAGTATAGTAAGAGAAAAAGTCTGGATCAGGCTTATCTATCATGAGATTTAATTTTTTCAAGACTACATTTATGGAAAGCAGAAAAGTTAATTAGAGTTTCATTTGAATGAAAATTGGAGAAAACAACAGCAAAACATGATAGTAATAAGCTCATTAATGTCAAATTGTTGCAGGAATAGTTAGGTAGTCCAGGAAGCAGGTAATATGTGCTGAACCCTAGAAGATAGCAATTTCACTCAAATAGGTTCAACAGTGAAACAAATCACTATGTTAGTTTCTTAAGGACAATTGTCAGAGTATTAAAAAGCAGAAACACTATGTCATTGCAAGTCAGGGCAAGTGGTGATAAGTTACTCGAATAATTAAGGTTGGTTATGTCTTGGCAACTAGACTATTTGACAAGATTCTTGAGAAATCAAAAGTTACTTTGATGATCGGTTTAAGGAAGTGGTTCTGATATATCTGTTAAAATACAGATTGTTGAACTCCACACCTCGATATGCTGATTTAGTACTAGGCATAAGGTGTGGCCTCACAATTTGCATTTCTAACAAGTTCCTAGCTGAGGCTGTTCACTTCACTCTATTTTACAGTGTTCATCTGTTTTCTAGGATAGTATTTACAACACCGTGTGCTATAAAATATTAATATCATAGGTATTTCAGGGGAGCGAGGAGTCTAGGAGAGAAAAGAATTAGGCCAATGATATTTTTCCTTATACATTTATTTTAAAGTGTGTGGGTGTATGCTAATTCTTGTAGTTCTATAGTTACAATGATTCCATGATAAGAATGAACATTTTCCAATTCTTGCATAACACGCTACTTTCTCAATGATTCTTGAATAATGTTTTGTGTTCAAAATTATAACCTTAGTATTTGTGACATTCATGATTCAGTATTTGCCTTATATGTTCCTATGGATCTTTGAGACCGAGTGAGATCCTAAAAACATTTGATTGGTAAAGGGATTTCCTTCAGACATTCATTCAATAAACGTTTATTGAATGAGTGCCAGTTGTGTGTTGGGTTCCGTGCTAGGCTCTGATGCTACATTGGTAAACAAGACTCAGGAATTCCCTGCCTCAAAGAGCTAACATGCCATTGGGGCAGTCAGAGTATGAATACAGTACTAAAATGATAAACTAAATGACAGAATGCTATCATTTCTAAGAGGAAAAATACAGGATGGTAAGAGAGTGGGAGACTGGGAAGGCCATTCCTGATTTGCAGTCACAGCTGCTTCTTCAAAGCAGTGACTTTTAAACTCAAACTTGGAGAATGAGCATGAGCCATTGCAAGAGCTCGGGAAGCTGGATTCCAGGCAGAGAGAACTGCAAGAGGACAAGATCAAAGACAGGAAAAGGGCTGAGTGTATTCAGGGACTAGAAAGGGGGCCAGTGGGGCTGAAGCAAAGCAAGGGAGGGACAGAATGATGAGAAATAAAAGTCACAAAGATAGAATGAAAACCAGGGTACAGTGGATAGAACACCTACCCCCGAACTCGTATTCTAAAAAGCGGCATGTTTTAAGCAACACACTTATAATATACGCTATGGTGACTGTAGTTAAAACCACATGGAAAATAAGTTGTAAATATATCAGTAAAAGATGGGGAGCTACATAGAGTATTGTTATGAACTAAATTGTATTCCCTCCAAATTCCTATGATGAAGTCTTAATTCTTGGTACCTCAGAATGTGACCATATTTGGAAATATACTTTTTAAAGAGACACTAACGTTAAAATGAGGTTACTAGGGTAGGCCCTAATCCAATATGACTGCGACCATATCAGAAGTGTAGATTAGGACACACATACACACACACACACACACAGCAGAGACAATGTGAACATGGACAGAAGATGGCCATATATAAGCCAAGGAGAGAGGACTTAGAAGAAATCAATTTTGCCTGCACTTTGTTATCTCCAGAACTGTGAAAAATTAATTTCCTATTGTTTAAGCCACCCAGCCTGTGGTACTTTGTTATGGCAGCCTTAGAGAACACAAAGGTTAATAGTTTTTCCTATGTTTTTTCTTGGGGCTTTCTTCTTCTGATAATTCAGTCTGTCTCTGTCTTTACTTGCAGGTTGTGGTAAGAAGTTTGATTTGTATCCCGTAATCACTGGGAGCCCACTGAGGGTTTGAAGTAAGGGAGTTTACATGATTAGATTATATATTTTACAAAATTATTCTGACAATGGTATTGACAATACATTACCGGGAAGCAAAAGTAGAAGAAGGGCTCTTCTAAGAGGCTGCCATATTGGTCAAGTTGAGAGTTGGTGATAACAGCTTGGACTAGGGATGTGGCAGTGGGGTTGAAGACTGGACAGATTGAGGGGCAGGTGTGCTCACAGGGTGTGGGTATTTTCCAAAGAACAATAAGCAAAGTTACAATAATTACTATTTATTAAAGATCAATTATTTGTCAGGTAGGTTATTAGGTTCTTCCCATATACTATTTCATGTAATCTTCACGACACCCTCCAAAGGCGCTATCCTCATGAGAATGTTATGGATCTGGAAACGGAGTTCACAGAGACTAAATAATGCATGACAGAGCCAGAATTCTAATCCCCTTATATTGATCTCCAAAGCATGTGCTAGCTTTACTATACTATATAACATCACCAATAATAAATCATTAACTACTTAAGCAAATGTGGAATTTCATATCTAGAATATAACATGCTCTACCTACATTTCCTGCTTTGTTCGTTAGTTTCTAAAGTATTTTCTCACAGTGCTTTTCACGTCTTTACTATTATTCCTATTACTGCATACTGCCTGGGCCTTCTATCTGTAACAGCAAAGGCAAAATCTTAATCGTTTTTGAAGTCCCAAACTAGCACAACGCCTTGCACATATTAGGCGTTGAATAACTGTGTTTCATCATGCTCCTAATATCATCCCAGCAGTGATTTAAAAACCCATCAAAAGAAAAAATTAACAGAATTACTTTCCACAGCAATTAAACTAAAAATATTTCCCATTTTTAGAAACTGTGCCTTATTTGTATTTGTATCCTCTGGCAGGACCAATCACAGGTTTTAAATGTAATAGGCCGCTGATAAATCAGTTGTCAATGAATAATGGTCACTATGTAATTAAGAATAACTCTTAGAGACACCTCCTCTAATACGACAGTTTAGGATGTTCAAATCAACCTTACTGAGAGTATAATTACATGGAAACCAGATAAGTTTGAGCTTGGAAGGATTTCTTCCCATAATTTGGTATGCATTTGTACAACATTAAAGACATCTTTTAGTTTACAATTCTACTTTGTTGGTAGTAGGGATACATTTTTTAATACCAAAAATATGGTTGACAGTCTGTAAGGCAAACAAGATGATTCAACAGTTTTTGGGAAAGAAAGAGCCAAGACCAGCAAGATCAAATTCAGGGAAATATTCCCATCTAATTAATGAGTCTAACTTGCTGGGAAAGAGGGAAGGCAATTAACAATGAATCAGATAATTTCCCAATTTACTTAATTTTAGCAGTACAGATATGGTTAAAGGGTGGAATCATTTTTG